TTAAACTCTTGGGCTTAAGCAATTCTCTTGCCTCAGCCTCCCAAGTAGCTGGGACTACAGGCGCCCACCACAACACTCGGCTATTTTTTTTATTGTTTATCAGGCCAGGCTGGGTTTGAACCCACCAACCTCAGTTTATGTGCCTGGCACCTTAGCCACTGAACTATGGGTGCCAAGCCAATTAAAATGATTTTTAAATAGCATAAATGAGAGTACAGCAAACCAAACTTTCTAAGATGGCACATAGTAAAATAAGTATGCCATCTATCTGAAAAGTAAGTTGAAAACATTCTAGCCTAAAGGCGTATTAGTATTTTTAATTAAGTGGTTTGTAAGAGCTAAATAAAATATATATAGTGAATATTCTTTGTGTTTAGTTGTCCTACAAGGATTTATTGCATTTAAATTTGTCAGAATGCAGCATTTACTTCATGAAGTTTTGTTCTGAGTCTAAGTGCCCAGAGGCAGGATGATGTTCAATAGTTGAAGACCATCAAGCCGCAAAAAACCAACCTTCTCCTTTGATTGCTGAAAATTTCCTGGTTGAGTCCTTTGGTGTTAATTGAGAATAAAATACCATTTTCCTATTACAATATTTAAATTCTGCGTGGATTTAATTGCAATAATAGATTTTATTACAACAGCCAAACAGTAGGATTTCACATGAAGCTGTTTCCTCGTGTTTTTTCCCAGAGATCACACATCCTGTTGATTTGACAGCCCTCGCATTCTATCACTATGTGGATGGAATCATTTGGACGCCTTGAATGTACTTCATTTATATGTATTTCTCTCCCCCTAAAAAGAATCCATTGAGAGCCATTTATGATTTTTAACTTTTTTCCCTCTTTTTATTGGCAGGCTTTCAGTGAGTTTGAGGTAGAACAGCATCAGGAATGTGCATATGATCACTTAGAAGTGTTCGATGGAGAGACAGAAAAATCACCAATCCTTGGACGACTGTGTGGCAACAAGATCCCAGACCCTCTGGTGGCCACTGGGAATAAAATGTTTGTCCGGTTTGTTTCTGATGCGTCTGTTCAAAGAAAAGGCTTCCAGGCCACACACTCTACAGGTCAGCATGTCAGGGTCATGCTTCTCTTCTCTGCCTAAAATCCAGGTTTCCCTTCTGATGAATGCGTGTGTTTGGTTCAGTAACAAGATTGTAAATAAATCTCCAAGGAGAGCAAATGAAATCTCACTGAAGCACCACACAGCATCCTACCTAAATATTTCTGTAGTTGTTGAACATTTAGGCAAACTCCAGCAGTTTTACTGTGATGTGTGTTCAGTGCAGTACGGCCTAGCAAAATTGTCTCTAAATACTAAATACTTGTGTAATGTATTTCATGTTGACTTTAGCAGTTGACTTCTATGCTGCATTTAACAGATAGAAATTTGGAACTTGGTATTAAAAAACTTACAATTCATCTAACAACCTAGTTGGTTAGCTAGGTTTTAAATTAATGTATTTTAATAAATACGTTTGGAATCTATCACTCTGTTTGAAAGAGCCACATTTTCCCCTATTTTATGCAATTAGTTTTTTTCCCCTAATCCTAATCTCTAATTTGACTTTTATAGATTTCATCTGTTCTAGAAATCCTTTAAAAAATAGAATTTAATTTAGAAAAATATAAAGCATTTAAGGAAAAATTAGAATAAAATTGTCTATAATTTAGTGCTAATTGAATGATATGTTCCATAAAATGTCTCAAGAATGCCCAATTTTCATTCAGTTAAAAATGTCAGTAAATTTGTAGATATTTGCTCAAGTCCTTTAGCTGATAGTGACATCTAGTGGCGGTACCAATGCACAGACAACTGGTGCCCTTCTGGGGGAAATCTGCCTTGATGGAAAACAGAATAAAAGTATATAAATTCATCCATAATTCTAGTGCATTTTTTCTCCTGGTTCTCTGCTTATTTTTGTTTGTTTGTTTTCTTTCACCTTAAATGGGAACCAGAAGTTTATTTTTCCCATTGTGCAATATTGTTTTTCATTCTAGTATATTTTATTAGAACATTAGATTTACTATTTATAGTTACTACTTACAATCTGTGAGAAAGTAGGTAGTACTTGTGAACATAGTGATCTTATTTATACTAGTAACTCCTGAGCTTCTGTTTATAATTTTTAATGTTAATAATATGATTATGATATAACTAATTTAATATATATTTATGGTTTTTAAATTATAAAAACTATTTCTCACAATTACTGTGCATATAAATACTGAAGACCCTCCCTAGTTGACTGCCTCCTTCAGCTGAGCTGATCTTCATAGACCAGACGTGCACCACGTGTACGTGTCAGTCCAGCAGCCTTGTTCCTTACGTTGACCCCCTCTGTGTGTTGACCAGTTTGTTACCGTCCCTTGGGTGGTCAGTTTACAGAAGGTCTACTTATTATGGCTTGAGGAAAACCTTGCAAGGACTGTAAAAATTTCATACTAGTAATGGATTTTTTAAAGACATATGGCAGTTACTCCTTAAATATTTTCTTGATAACTTTTCATATATTAGAGGGGTGGAAGAATCAAACTCTATACTTCGTCTGTATTTTCTAATAGCACAGAATTCATGGCATCTCTTTTTTTTTTATTAAATATTTTAGCTATTGCAGGTTCCAGGAATGTAGTGTGTAAATACACTTTCAAAAATCTTGAAACAGCTTTTGACATAATATTCTAAAATAACCCATCTCTAATTTTTTTCCTTTTTAGTTTCATAAAAACTGCTTTTCTAATTTCTCTTTTTATCCTTTGTAAGTGGGAGGACTGAGTGTGTTCCCATGTGTTATTCCATCTCGGTTCCTGGTACAAGGGTGGCTTTACCTAGCAAGGAACTTTGGAAAATATCATTTTGTTGGATCTCAGTTTTCTCACCTGTAAAATAATAACCTCAAGGTTACCTGCAGCTCTAAAACTCCAGGGCTCCCTAATTTGCATGACTCCTGCCCCTGCATCCTGTTTGCAGTGTTTGTATCATGATTAAGATTCCACTGACAGGATCTGCTTATGTTATAATTGTGTTGCATTGGCATGTAGAATAGATCGCCCCTGGGGTCTCAGGTATCTCTCTCTCTCTCTCTCTCTCCTTATATTGAGTGCTCAAAAGAACTATATGAGATAGGAATCAGCATCTTCATTTTCCAGGTGTAGAAAGTGAAAATCAGGGTGATTAATTTGTGAGGTTTCCTAAAATAGGGTAAAAGCCTGGATTTTATCCTAAGTCTGCCTGTAAAGCTGAGATACTTTCCAGTATACTATATTTTCTCAATGTAAAAATTTTAGGAGAAAAACCAATACAAAACTCTATTATTATTTGGAGAAATAGGTAAAGATGGGGTATTTCCTTATATAAGATTTAGTAAATCTCCTGTTCAAAATATGTAACTGATGAGGCTTAGTTTATTTCCCTTTTCAGCTCACATGCATTCACATACCCATGTGAGCAACCTCACATTTTTAAGGCAAAATGTGCTTTTGTTGTTTAATTGAGTTCTGCCAGTCCAGATAGGAGGAAATTGAGGCTCAATACTTCAATGTCAGCCAGACTGGCACAGAAGTTAGTAACAGTCAAAATTAGAGTCCTGGCTTTCTGATTCCTTTTCATTTACTCTTATGAATATTTTTGATGGTATTTTTTTTTGTTATGTATAAAATTCTGCTGTCATTTAATCAGCTACTTTGGAATTGTTCTCGGTAGATTTCTTTCACACCATAACCCTCCAGAGGTCGTATGTGCTGAGATATTCTTCTGTTCTGTCTGTTGTTTATTTTTCTTCAAATCTTTCTCTGTAACACGTTCATTTATTCTGTGGTCTTTTATCAAATAATTATTTGTCTTCTGCTTTGGATAGACAGTGTGAATTTGTGGAAATTTATAGGACAATAGAAGGAATTCCTGCCTGTTGACAGCTACAGTCTGATAAATTATAAACTTCTGATTTTCAGTTTTTTTTTCAGTTTCTGCTGACATGACAGCGAGGTCCAACCCATCTGTCACCTTTTACTACATGTACAAAGCATGTGCCCATCACTTACTGTCTTTTAGAGCATAGGTAGCTGACTGGCCCTCAAGTATACATTTTAATTTAAGAAAATTTATATACAATTTTAATTTTATCCATAAGAAAAATTTCTGGCACAATGAATTTTAAAACCAGGTAATTAGAAATATTGCTGTAATGGCATCAAGGCTATATATATATATTTTTATAATACCATCCAAGTCCACAGAAAGTGGACATCATTAGAAAGAGTCCTTTCTCCCAAACCCTGATGGTGCAAATTCCAAGTCCAAATTTATCAGATAACAAATCAGTTACTCCTGTTTTAAATAAACTAAGTGAAGGAAACAAATCCTTTATTAAAAATCCTGTGTCTTCTCCCAGAGAATATGACTATAAAACAGGAGGAAGGGAGAGACGTGGAGAGAGCTTGATTTCCCACATCCCGATGTCACCCTCAGGACTTCTGTAATGTGGCATAAAGCATCAGACTGTTTGTCAATGACAGTTAAAAACCAGAGGGTGTATTATTAAACTCCTTAGAAAGGAAATTATTTTGCTCTAAATCAATTAAATTAGAACGCCCTGCTAAAAGCATTTACAGTTCAAATTACAGGACCTCCCCTGGAACTTAATACTTTACCTGGAATAAACACGTCCTTGGAAGTTAAAATGAAGACCCCCCCCCCCCGGCCTCTTTTCCCTTCTTACCACCTTCCTTGATCAGCTTCATTTTCCACGTCCCAGAATTCTGTATGAGAGGGTCAGGCAGCTTAGAAAAAGGCTTTCAAGCAATTGATTTAAAAAACAGTATTGTTGACATCGTAAATGGCAGGTTTTATGTTCTCCTGACTTCATAAATGGATAGAAATATTTGCTGTTACTCTATTGAAGAGCCGTCTTTCATAGAGACCTGGTAGATGACATATAGAACATAGTTTTCACAGCCTTGAGGATTCTCAGAAACACCCCGGAACAGTTGCCCTCTGGTTACCCATCATGTATGCACCTGGAATTCTCCCGTGGCATATTAAAATCACACCTCCTGTTCATATAATATTCACACATTCATCCTTAGAAAAAAATCATTCTGTGAGCTAAATTCCATTGTATGTTTTTTGTGGGTAGAACACGGATTTCAGATTTATTAGTTAGATCAGTGATCCCCAGGAAGGAGGGTGTGCACGGCAAAGCAAAGGGGTGGGAAGGAGCTCCTGGGGGCAGTTTAAGTCAGCCTTAAGTGCAATGTGAGGCATCGGTTTTTCAATGCAGGCCATGTTTCTAGAAGTTGTTAATAAAATCGAATAATGATACCTTCTATGGCTTTCAGATTCCCAAGCCTCTGTGAAGTCTCTTTGTCTGTTTTGTTGACCCACTTCAGTTCCTCCTTGGTGTTGGCTCCAGGTGGGGCTGCAGGGGTGGCCTTTTCTGCATCCTGGCCTTTGTGTCCCTACCTTGTCTCTGTGAAAGAGGCACACAGAGGGAGTGAAACAAAATAAAACCAGCCAGTCCTCAGACTTTGAGAACAGGCAGAATTTCAAAAAAATCCCTAAATGAGATTGCATGGGTTTACATGTTTATATGTTGAATTCAGAAATATTTGTCACAGAATATTATACTGGCCTTCAGAGGCAAACCTTTCTCTTGATTATCTTTTAGATTGTTCAGTTTTCCTCATATTTTCCTTTCAGGCCTGCATGGGTCACCGAGTCCAGATGATTGGCATTTAGAGGTCCTTAGTAACCACAGTGATGGTAGCCTGAATGCATACGGCATTCACTGTGCCAGGCACCTGGGCGCTGGTCAAATGTGCTTCATGTAGGCCAGTGTTTTTTAACATTTTTTCTCACAGAACACTTGAACCTATAATTAAACTCCCACCGCACACTTAAATTATGTTGATCAAAAAAAATGTAAAAAGGAATATATTTACTGTGTGTTGAACTTCTTTTGAAAATAATTTAATTAATGATTATGGTGCACCTAACATCCTCTCATGGCTCACCAGTTGAAAGTCTCGGATCCAGACCCTCTGACGTGAGTGCTGTTGTGATTCCATGTCAGAATGCTGTATGAGACTGAAATAACCTTGGGGTTATGAAAAAATAAACTCGGACCCACTCAGATGCTATTAATTGGTGATTTATTTGCACCTGTGCAGGGGGCCATTGTTCTAAGACATGAGGCCCCAAACTGCAGGGTTTTTTGTCTTTTATACCTTTTTTCTCTGCATAGCTTAAGCAAGCGGGGGAGGGGCGATGACAGGCTATAACCCATTGGCAGGGTTATAGCTTGGTTGTCAATGGATACATCTCAAATCACAATGGTTATGATTATATAACAATAATTGATCAATGGATACATCTTAAATCACAATGGTTATGGTTATACAACAGTAATTAATCAAGCCTTGGTGAGTTTTCCACCATTGTTCCTCTACTGAGAACCTGGTGGTAGTGAAACTTGCGACTTTTCGTGCCTCTTTGAATTCTGGGGAGCATGGAAATGTGGCTGGAAGGCCCAAAGAGCAGAGGAGCAGGGGAACAGGAGCTTTCCCCTAGAGTGGGGGATGGGAGAAGGCAGGAGGAGCCACGGGAACAGGAGCTCACAACAAGACAAAGTCCTGCCGCCAGTGAAGAACAGAGATGGAATTTGGACCCTGTGATTTGACTGGGGGACTCTTCACAGAGAGAGAGGGCAATAATCCCGGAGTTACTGGGGTCAGAAAAGCACCCCAGCAGGAAAGAGGTGCTCAGCTTCCAGTTTGTGGGACTTGGGAGATGAAATCCCAAGGCGGTCATTACTTCAGCCTTTGGAGTGTTTGCTCGTGTGCAGGATTTGGTACCAGTGGCTCCTGACCCATAGGCTGTGAGACCCTCCCATTGTGGAGGGACATTGAGACCCACCTTGGGACAGCCCCCCGGAAAGGCGTTACTGTGGGCAGAACCCTGGTTGGATGTTTTCTTAGTCTGTGGGAAGGTCTCTGAATCTCACTTGTCTGCCTGAATGGGGCCCCATACCTGGGAATTCAGAAATATTTTGTCACTTAAAATCACAGGGGGGCTTCTGTGGTGTTAAAGTGCCCCCCATCACTCTGCCCCACCCTCCAATATGCACTTTGATTTACTTCCTGACAACTCTGTTCCCTCTTGCTCTAATTTTAAAAAATATTTTGATGATGAAAAAAAGATACAAACAAAATCACCAAGCCACAGTACATGTAAACCATGTACAAATCTGAAAAATCCAGGTACGAGTTTTATCTGCCCAACCATCTTTGCAGAGGACAGTCGGGACAGCCTGCAGGATGGTGTCACAGCTGTCTTCACAGTCGTGCTTCAGCCTCCACAGCTCTCACCATTTGGCTTTTCCCTGCGACTTCCTTCATTTTAACATGGAAACTCCTGCTTGTTCTTTCTCAGACAAGCCTGAGTCTCTGCTGACACTTTCTGTGTCCAGTTCTTACCTCCCTTCTCCAACCCGTCCAGCCATGCTTGGCTGTGCCTGTGCACCCTCTCTCTGCCTTTACTTAAACTATAATTATTTACATCTTGGGGTCTGTGACTATGCAGGACTCCAGAGATATTTTTTGAGACCTTTTATTATTTAAATTATACCTGCAGGCTCGGTGCTTGTAACACAGTGGTTACAGTACCAGCCACATACACCAAAGTTGGTGGGTTCGAATTCAGCCTGGGCCTGCTAACCAACAATGACAACTGCAACAAAAAATAGCCAGGCATTGTGGAGGGCGCCTGTAGTCCTGACTACTTGGGAGGCTGAGGCAAGAGAATCACTTAAGCCCAAGAGTGGGAGGTTGCTGTGAGCTGTGACACCATAGCACTCTCCAGAGGGCAACATAGTGAGACTCTGTCTCAAAAATAAATAAATAAATAAATAAATAAAAATAAATTATACTAGCAGTAAATTTTTATGTAGTAACCAGTAAGACATGCTTATTAATATGTCTCCAAAAAGTAAGGGGTAAAGACCAAAATTTTTTATTATAAAAACCACACATACTACAACTGGATAGGGTCTAGAATTATTGATACAAAGATAATTATAATCAATAATATGTATATATTTTTCCTGATCAAGTTAGATAATATTTCTACCTAAGTAAAATATTATTGTTCTATATATTCAGTTGTTTATGGGAAAAAATTCTAACTCTGTAAAATAACTTAAAGAGGTTTATTCTTAGCTAATATCATAGCCCAGGAATACACAAAACCAAAACGGCTCCATTAAGTAATCCCGAAGCGGTTGGATTACAGCTTGATTTTATACGTTTCAGGGAGATAGGAATTGCAGATAGAATCATAAATCAGTACATGGGACGTATACATGGTTCAGCCAGAAAAGGCAAGCTATCTTGAGGAGGACTTTCAAAGTTATAAGTAGGTTCAGAGCCTTTAATTGGCAATTACTTGAGAGTCAAGCTTTCTCTAAAATGTGGAGTCAGTAATAATGAAAGCCTAAGTTAAGGTAGGGAAGTCTGCTAATCACAGAGCAGCCCGAGCAGCCCACTCTGTGAGGTCTGTTAAGCAAATTGACGGGTTTGTAGGCACAACTTAACCTTCGTCCTGCTTCACATTCCCTTCTGTTACTCTTTAGTACCCTGTGTCACAAACAGGTTGTCTTGTCAGTGCTGTGACCTCTACTCTAACATTAATGCTGATCAGTTGTGTCTAAACTCCAAAAGGGAGGGGTGTAAGGAGGGGTGTCAGACTGCCCTTTCCAGAGTGACAGGGATTTCAGTGTTAAGGTTTTCCTGGGATCCCCTTGGCCAAGAGGGGTCCTTTCAATCAGTGGAGGATTTAGGATTTTATTTTTAGTTTACACTGTATAGAAAATTCTATAACAAACACTAGTGTTTTAGATAGTTGCTTTTTGAGTTCTTATTCCTTTGGATTTTAGGTTCTTTAAAACTATCAGAGTATTAAACTAAAGTTAGTACTCTGGCTTTTTATGCATGTAAATAGTTATTTGGAAGTAAAAATAGTATTAGGTATGACAACAAATTTATTTACTGAGTTACTGTGTGGTAGGTGCTAAGTAACTTTCACATATTGAATTTTCAAATCCCACTGAGGCTGGGTGTATCATTATTATCATCTGCATTTTACCCTTGAGAAAACTATGGATCAGAGAAGCAGCATCATTTACCCAGAGTCACGGAGCCGCTAGGTGTCAAGGCTGAGGTTCCCCCCAGGCCCTGGGTCTGAGGCCTGTACTCATCACTTCCCAGTCAGAGAAGGCAGATCTGATGGTGGAAGGAGAAACAGAATGGCGAGGCCACGTGGGAGTGGAGTTGGGCCAGTGAAGGCTCACTGAGCTTCCTTGTTTCATTTTCTTTCCTGGGCAGAGTGTGGTGGCCGATTGAAAGCAGAATCAAAACCCAGAGACCTGTACTCCCACTCTCAGTTTGGGGACAACAACTACCCAGGGCAGGTGGACTGTGAATGGCTGTTAGTGTCGGAACGCGGCTCTCGTCTTGAATTATCCTTCCTGACTTTCGAATTGGAAGAAGAAGCAGACTGTGGCTATGACTACGTTGAGCTCTTTGATGGTCTCGATTCAACAGCTGTGGGTCTTGGTCGGCTCTGTGGATCAGGGGTAAGTCTACTGCCAGCAGGGTGTCAGATGCTCCTTGATTCTTTTTTTTTTTTCCTTTTCAAGACAGAGTCACACTATGTCACCCTGGGTAGAGTGCTATAGTGTCACAGCTCACAGCAACCTCCAACTCTTGGGCTAAAGCGATTCTCTTGCCCCAGCCTCCCAAGTAGCTGGGACTACATGCACCCGCCACAATGCCCACAAAATAGGGTGGCAATTTTTTGTTGTTGTTGCAGTTGTCATTGCTGTTTAGCTGCCCAGGGTCAGGTTCAAACCCACCACCCTCCATGTATGTTGCTGGTGTAACCACTATACTATGGGTGCTGAGCCTGCTCATTGATTCTTGATTGACATGTCTAACATTTACAAACTAGCAGTGATTTTAACAAAAACAAGTTGCAGAGCTTAAATGGCTTGCCAAAATAAAACACATCTCTCTCCCTTACCACTTCTCCACTTCTTTTTTTTTTTTATTAAATTACAACTGTACATTTATGCATTTATGGGGTACAATGTGCTGATTTGATATGCAACATGGAAAGCTTACATCAAACCGATTAACATAACCATCACCTCACTTACTTATTTGTTGTGGTAAGACATTTATATTCTTAATAGTTTTGAAATGTACCATTGCATTGTGTACCTTAGGTGAGGTCTCACCAAATGCCCTCCCTCCCCCTGCCCTCTTTCTCCTCTTCCCTCCTTCTTTCTGGGCTATAGTTGTGTTTTATTGTTCATATGAATGTGTAGGTGATTATATGTTGATTTCATAATGCCACTTCTCCACTTCTGATGAATTTTCCTGATAAGAGATGAATCAGATGAATTCAGTAATTACAATTTCCTGTCAGTTTCCACATTCTAACTTTTTATTGTGAAATAAGTGTTTACATTACATACTTAGTAATCTAAAACCAACATATTTACACATACACTCTCTTTACAGTTTTGTCACCCTAAATTAAAGCATACAGGGAAAAAGAAGATGCATACTATTCTAATTATGTTCCCTTCTCAACAAGTATATGTGGAGGGGGTGGCACGTGGGCTCACCCAGCACCGCAGGAGCACCGTTCATTGCAGAGTGTCCCTGGTACAGGTGCAGAGTGCCAGGTCCAAGTCAGAGGTCCCAGGAGAAATACAGAGAAGAGAAGCTGGACGTTTTCTAATGCTTTTTTCCCAGGACTCATTGCATTAATATTATGTAGTCTTCTGAATACGTATTTTGTTCTGAAGATATTATTCTCAATTTTCCAAGTGTCTCCTGGTACCTGTTGCTTATGTACATGTAGTATCATTGGACTCCTGCCCAAATAGCAGCTGAAATGCAACCAACAAAGCTCCTGGGAGCTTAGATTATTAAAACAAGGAGTAATAGGGGATTTGGATTCTGGAAAAGGCTCTGCCTCAGAGCAGCATCTGGGCAAATTTACAGTCTTTTTACTGTCTCTGAACCTCCCTTATTTGTAAATCAGGAGGATTTGCTTAAGGATTTGGGGAAAAAACACCAAGTTCTAGCAAATAAAGTGTCCAGAACTTGGAAAGAAACCAATGTATTTCCAGAGCCCAGCCATATCTCTGACCAGCCTGTGACCTCCAGCCTGTCATGTTCTCAGAATTTTATCTTCTCATCTGTAAAATGAAGAAGTCCGTTACACCTACTTTTCATGGTTGTTGAGAGGATTAAGTTATATTCCAAAGAAAAATATTCCCAAATATGCATTGCATTGAAGAAAAATTAATTCATTCTGATGTTTATTTGCTTTTCTTTTTCCCCTCCAGCCACCAGAAGAGATCTATTCAATCGGGGATGCAGTTTTAATTCATTTTCACACTGATGATACAATTAACAAGAAGGGATTTCACATAAGATACAAAAGCATAAGATATCCAGATACCAAGCATACCAAAAAATAGCAACAAAACCTCTGTCACAACCTAAAGGAACATGTGCACTGCAGAGAAGACTTATTTTTTTTAAACTGAAGATATTGGCACAAATGTTTTATATAAGTTTGAACACAAGAAAACTGTAAGGCCAGAATTATCTCTCTACTAAATGATGAGTTTCCAGCCAACCCAGATCAGCATTTCAAGGGTATCTGAACTCTCTGCTTGATGGGATTAATGAAGGTGGTGAAAGGGCCTCACCTGCTTCAAAGAAGACAAGACCAGCTGTGTTCACACCTTAAAATAGACTCCTCACAATTCAGACAGTCTGCACAGGAGCCCTGATCCTTCAGAGTGCTCTTGTTGACATTTTTTCAAGATTTGTGGGCATAAAAGATGATATTGCAGGTCATAAACTGGAAACCTCTCCTCTCGTGTCTTTTTGCTGTGATACAGTGTAAACCAGATGGGTATGCGGTGGTGAGCAGTGGGGAACTCTGAGGGTGGTTTGTACTTTAAACCTATATGTGTGTCTGATGTCTGGAAACTGGAATATTTCAGCTTCATTATTTTTCACCTGCAGGCCAGTTTAACCTCTTTGAAACTCAAATGATCTTGAGACCACTTCATTGTACTTACCTTTCTGATGAGTTTGAAATGTTCTCAGTGTCTAGTATTGCAGTTAAACTGTAGATATGGCTTCTTCAAGTCCTGGACAATGCCGAGTTAGTTGGCAGACTCGATTCTTCTGGTGGAAATGCTGTCTTTCCACACCAAATCTAAGAAGTCTGTGATAGGAAACCTATGGGAAACCAGCCAAGAGGTGTGAGCAGGGCCCTTCAGATGACTGCCTGGGCGGTTCATACTCAAATTATTACTGCTGCTATTACCTTTCTGGTTTTTTTTTTTTTTTTTGCTGTTGATCTGTTGTTATTGTTGTTGCCCCCACCATTAATGTATTTTTTAAAACTAAAATGAAACAGAAGTAGGCCTTCTGAAAATGGAAAGATCTCTCTATCTCTCTCTGTCTCTCTCTTACCCCCCTGGGATTCAGTTTAAAAAGAAAAAGCAAAGGTGGAAATAAGATTTGTTTCTGAAAGACTTCCTATGGTGCTATTCCATAAACTTATTTTTTTAAAACAGGTTTTTGACCTTTGAGCCAACCACTTGTAGACAACAACTGTGTCGGTATGTCTGGCTGGTGTTAGTTTGTCAGGAGTATGTCATAGCCAGGGCAGCACCTGTCCTGTGGAACAACTACTTATAATGCCTTAGAATTCTTGCACACAATCAAACAGACCCTCCCAGTAACACAACTTTTGAAATGCTGAGCACAGTGGAGTAGGTTAACTAACAGCTCGACAAGGAAAATCCATTTCCATAACTGAAACATTGGATATAAGTATGGTGACCTGGTTTTGTTGTAGAAAATGTAATTTTCGAATGGATTTCCTGAGTAAAGGCGTGTGTGTTTTTAATATTAATGTATATGTGAGATTGTCTGAGTGAGTGAAGCTGCAAAGAGTGAAAAGTCCTGAGTGGCTGAAGGGGTAAAATTCACGTGCCAAGTCCTGCTCAAGACCTGTGGGAAATAGCACCTTTCTTAAGTTTCAGGGACAAATAATGGGAACCTCTGCTTATTATCAATCCCTTCAAGAAGGGTTCTTCCCTTTAAAGAAACTATTTTGACATATTTTAATGTAGACGTAGATTTCTACGTGAAGTACTTTATTTCCTTTACCTGTCCATGAACAGTCAACATTTAATACAATCGGATATATTCTTCATTTTTACAGAATTAAACTATACAGACAGATAGATGTCACTTATTTTTTCTCTCATTGTTGCTCTGAAAAAAATTTTTTCTTGCGTATGAATCGTGAAATGTAGATACCTTTTTAAAGCCAATGTTTTGATCTTATTGAATGTTACTTTGGAAATGTATAACTTGCCTGCAGTGTAGATGAGCCTTTTAGTGAAGCTGATTTATTCCAGTAACTTTTCACTAATCTCCAGTGAGTCAGGATATGCCAGGAATGAAGAAGAGAGGGGAAAAAAGACGTTACCACCTGTTGTGTTCTGCAGGCAAGGGCCCTGGCTCTCAGAAACTCCATGCTGCCCTCTGAGGACCGCCCTGATATTCTGGTTTTATAGTTCAGGAAGTGAGACTCAGAAATTATGTAGCTTTCCAGGGTCACAGTGTAGTTAGATGTCGAAATCCAGTCTGTCTGATAGCAAGGTCTGTACTTGTTCTACAAAATATAGTAGAATCTGTCTTGGCATATATAAATAGTAGGTTTTTATTATGATGAGACTTTTCCACGTAAATTTTAAAGGTGAATTACAAAAAAACTTCCAGGATGACCTTTTTTTCCCTGAGAAACAGCATGAGAATGAGAATATTAGTGATAGCTATATTTAAGAACCAGAACTAGTATTAGAAATTAAAAAAAAAAAAAAAGAAACACAATATAGTTTGGAGTTACTGTGGGCCTTCTGTTAAAATAAGTGTGTTAAATTATTTTGCCTGGTATGGTAGAGCAGATGTAATGCTCTGCATTCAGAAATATTCTGGATGTTCTGATCAACATCCTTTTAGGCTACAGTGAGCTGTGCTCGACACAACTGAGAAATTAAAGAAGGTATTCAGAAAGCATATAGAGATGTCACAACTTTAGGTCTTTGACAAGAACAATTATTTTTATTGTATCAATTTATTGCATATTATTTTTATATTAATTAAACATTTGCCTTAAATGTGTTGTTAAATGAAAATACATCTTCATTGTTGTTTTGTTAATATTTGTTAGTTACTGTTCCAGGCATTTTTAAATTAAGTTTGTAAATTATTTTCAACCCCTACATCAATATATTGATTGTGCTTTATATTTGCTAAAGTTCTAAATCTCACAATTCTCACTGACTATACACAGAAAAAAACTGTTCTCACTTGATTTTATTAAATTATTTTTTAAAATGAATTCTGAAAGTAACTCTAGTTTATTAAAGAGATAATGACTTAACTGCACACAACGGCTCCAAAGAATGAATGAACAACAGCAGTGATTATATTTGCAAAGCCCCCAATTGTCCCAGGCCTGCGTTAGCTGGATCTGTGCTAGCTAGAACTAATTTTAATATGTCACAGCATCAGATTCAAATTCTGTTTCGTATGTTTTAAAATACCGTGGTCTCCTTTATTTGGTTTCTATTACTGCTTTATTTTTGGTGGAAAGCTTAAAATACAAAATTTAGTTCTGCAATATAGCATCAAGTGACTAGTTTTATTCTTTACAAGGTTTAAAGCTACTTTTTAAAAGAAACACTAAATCACATCTTCATTTCGTTTTATAAGAACTACAAACAGGTGTGACATTAAAATAACTTTTACTTGAAACAATTATCAAAACATTTGGTAACTTTTATTTAGTAATAATGGAAATAGTGGTTGCTTTTTGGAAAACCTTTGATGACATTTGTTAAATCTGGCAGAGGGGGAGGAAAACAGAAGAAAATAATTACCTCCTAAAAATTTACAATTTGAATTACAGTAATGGCTTCTACTTTACAAGAACAAACATGTAGTGTTAACTTGTCAAATAAAAAAGGTGGCCTGTGAATAAATTGAAGCCTTTTATGCTTCAATGAGAGGAAATTGGTTTTTAGTTAATATTTAGCTTTTGCCCTTTTATGTTATTGTTATAAAATTTAAGGATTGTCATTAGTTTGGGAAAGAAGCAATAGAAAAATTGGTTCCAATACATTGTGAAATAGTATTATTAGTTTGCAGACTTTATTTAGACACCTGTTTTTTTTCATGCCCAATTTTTTTGTTTATTTTTACTTTCTGAAGTGGGGTCTCACTCTGTAGCATGGGATAGGGTGCTGTAGCATTAGACTAGCTCACAGCAGCCTCAAACTCCTGGGTTCAGGAGATCCTCCTGCCTCAGCCTCTAGAGTAGCTGGGACTACAGGTGCCCACAACCACACCTGGCTAACTTTTGTATTTTTGGTAGAGACCAGGTATCACTCTTACTCAGGCTCAACTCCTGAGCTGAAGCTGAAGGTCCTTCTCCTCAGCCTCCCAGAGTGCCGGGATGACAGGTAGGGACCACAGTGCCAGCCTATGTGTAACTTTCAAACTGTTTGACTGTCCCTCCCCCCAGTTTATAGAACCTGAAGGCAGGCTGACCATGCACCTCCCATTCCCACCACGACTCCCAACTGTGAGAACCAGCTCAGGGTGATGATGGAGCACTAGAGCAGTTACTGGGCCCTAAGCACGTCTCACTATGGCTTCCTTTTCTCTTTTTTTTTTTTTGAGACAGAGCCTCAAGTTGTCCCCCTGAGTAGAGTGCTGTGATATCACAGCTCACAGCACCCTCCAACTCCTGTGCTCAAGTGAGTCTCCTGCCTCTGCCTCCCAAGTAGCTGGGACTACAGGCACCTGCCATAACACCTGGCTATTTTTTGGTTGCAGCCATCATTGTTGTTTGGTGGGCCCCGGGCTGGATTCGAACCTACCAGCTCAGGTGTATGTGGCTGGCGCCTTAGCTGCTTGAGCCACAGGCGCCTAACCTGTATGACTTCCTTCTTGTTAAACATTTTTAGCAAGAGAAATAAGTACAGTTTATCAATTTCTAACTTTAGAATACATGTGGGCAGAAATAATTTTGTATAAAAAGCAGTTGGATGGAGAAGACCCATGAAGCTGGCGTGGAGCCCGACTGGGGGTCCTGACCACAGGTCCTGTCTTTCCTTTGCTGCTGGGGTGGAGGCGTGTGAGTGAATGATGAAATTATTCGTGTGATTATGTGTTACCCATATATAAACACAAGGTAATGGCTTTACCAATCCCTCTCAGCTTGCGCTGTTCTATCTAGATTGTCCTGATAGCTGGGTAATTACTGACACAGCATTTTATTTTTGCCCAGCGATCAAATTTTCAGAGCATCAGAAATAAACATAATAGCAACTATAACTATTCAAACTGATTTACCCCAGTTTAAATGTAGACTCAATGCTCTGGTATACTTCAGATTCAATGTGCTTCTTCTGCTAAATAACATAGGGTGATTATGTTAAGTCATGGTATTTATAACAGATCTAAGAGTGGATAAACTTTATACCTGTCAAAAGCTCTACTAGGACTTTTTTTGAAGAGCAACTATAGAAATTTAGCTAAATATAATGATTTTCAATCAAAATATAAAAGTGAATCTATATTCCCACAGGAAATTTTTGTGTCAGAGTCAAGACATCACAAAAGTGATACTTGACATGGAAAAAATAATGGGACATTAATGATGTCAAGGGGGAAGAGGGTTACTTCAGAAATGCTGTTGAGATTACTTAAACAAGAAGAGCGCCCAGATAGGATAGACAAAGTGAAAAGATTGTAGATAATAGGGGGAAAATATACAAACCTACCCTAAGGGAATATTCAGAGGACATTCCTCAAGAGACTATAATTAAAACTTAAATTGTACAAAATGTTTTGGGGGAAATCCAATGAATTTGTCCAAGTCCTTTCTTTGTATATCTGTTAGTTGTGTTTTAAGTTCCCTGGGATTAATGGGTCTCTAAAATAAGTTCTACCGTTTTCAAGTCAAAGGCAGTACAACTATGTATTTTACTTATTTATTCTATTTATTCACTGAACAAGTATCTGTTTAATGCCCACTCACATTCCAAGTACTGTGCTAAGTACTATGAATTTGAGGTTAAAAAAAATCACAATCTTCAAGCTCATGAAGTTTAATTTTAGTTGAAGATAAGCATGAATTAAAAATAATCCTCAAAAATCAAAATTTCAGAATTGCAATAATAATAGTACTTTATGCTATGTGCTTTAATTAATTTACTCTTGTATAGATAAGCACTGAGTTGTTTTCATACTTTGTAATTGTGAATTGTGCTGCTAGAAACATTCGAGTGCAGGTGTCTATTATGGAAAAGGTCTTTTTTTCCTTTGGGTAAATACCCAGCAGTGGACTTGCTGGATCAGATGGTGGGTCTACTTTTAGTTCTTTGAGGTGTCCCCCTACCACTTTCCACAGAGGTGCTGGTTTGCAGTCCCCCCGCTGTGCATGAGCAACCGTTTCTGTCTACATCCATGTCAGCATTTATAGTTTGGGGACTTTTTGATAAAAGCCATTTTCACTG